GCCCTCTCATCTCTCGAGAATCCCTAGGGGAAGGAAGGCTTGAAGGCAGAATAGTCTCTTTTAATGTAAACTATAGGCTCCCAAACACCAACAACTTTATTTATCCGTCCTTTTCTTATTCTGCTTGGAACAGTGAAGTGGAGATGTCTATAGCGAGTATGGTTCACTCCCTGATCAGACTCAACTAAGTCTTGCAGGGACTATTGTTATTTCTATTAGTATTGAATTTATCTGAATTGATCTTTTCCCAAACCAAATTCTCTGTGAAGCTTGGAGACAGTAATGTTTTTAAAAACTTAAATCCACATGTAACTTCATTATTAACTTCTTTTGTACTCATCTAGTCCAAATACAACTGCCTTTTCTGTTGTTTTTAACTTGAGATACTTGGGAACTCCGGTTTCTCAGAAGTTCCATTTTGTTCATTTTTCAATCAATGCTTCCTTTTTTAGTAAGACTTGAAATTCTATTCAACCAAGCTGTTTTTAGTGAGATATATAGTAGTAATTTGTAATCTTGAACTCCAGGGTTTCAAAGTAGAACAAAGTTTTCTTATATTTAGTAAAAGCCCTTAAAATATTTGTGAACTGTGGAATTTTCTGATGCACTTGTGTGGTTTTTAAATATACATTTAATTTAGTAATATAAAATAAGGACTAAAAATAAAATTCTACTGTCATCCATACTTCTCTACGATTAAGAGTTTTTCATGTAATCATCTTACTAACATAATTAAAAACTAGAAAAAAAGCTGCTTGGCAATTGCATTTCACATTATCCCATATAGAGGGCAGAAGAGAACTTAGATTTTGTTACTCTTTACTGGAATGGCTTTCCTAGCCTAATTTGCAGTTCCTTGTATCTGTTCCAGATGAGAGTAAATAAAAACAAGTAATCTCTAAATGAAACAAAGTAATGACTATTCTTTAGCTTTAATTTATTTCTAAATTCCAGAATTCTTAATTTCACATTAAAAGGAGAAAAAAACGTAAGTCATAAAAAAAATACAGTCCTTTTTCTATAGAGAAGGGAAACAATGTTATCTTCTTTCTCTTTACCTTGTTCCTATTTTAGGAAAGAAAGCATTGAAGGCTCATACAAGCAGATGAACAGAGACTGTAACCAAACCTGGTCTTTGAAAACCAGTCATTTTCCCAAAAACTTGATTATCTTTTACACAATTGCATTATTTTTACATGACTCAGTTAAGTTTTTAAGTTTATAAATTCTATGTTTTCTACACAAAGAAAAGACACCCAGTTTATGCTTCCAATTTTGCCATCTGTAGTATTTGTAAATCATATAAGTGGTTGCTGTTACGTGATCACTAAAGTAAACCACCAGTTGAAATAGGATCTCTTCTAACATTTAAGCAACTGAACTATTTTATTATTCCCTTTCTATTTCTAAGCTCTGTTATAAAAAGGTTATAAGGCAAGTAATCTCAACATTTTTTAAGGTTTCCTTCTCTGTAAAATGCTGGAAATTATTTACCAAACTGTAGCCTGAGACGAGGAAACTCAGATTTTAAACCTAGCTCTGCTCCTAACTCATAGGGCAACACCTACCATTGACCGAGCAGTGAGCATTTACCAAACTGTGCTAAAGGTGTTACGTTTATTGGCTCATCTGGAAGGTATGTTGTAATAGGAGTTGAGCAGACCAGATTCAAACCTGTCCATTGATTAACCATGCAACTTTGGGAAAGTTCATTAAACTTCCTGAGTTCCTGTTTCCTCCATCTGTAAAATGGAGGTAATAATACATACTGCATAAAGTTGGTTAAATAAGATAATATGCATAAACCATGAAGTAAGAACTCAAATTTCCCTTTTTTTTAAACCACTGTCCTTCAATTTCCACCTAGGAAAACTGAGGAGGATGAGTTCATGATCTCAAAGGTCCTTTCAGCCCTCTGCTTTCATGGAATATTGTTAGAGTCAAGGTTCTCTCAGGCTCATCACTGAGGCGAACTAAATATCCCATGTTCATTAGTGCTGTTTCAGGTGCTGGCTACAGTTTTTTAAATGATATGGAGACCACAACCCTGTACATTCAGAATGCAACTAAGATTTTAGGGTTGGTGAGCTGGGATTTTTGTGCTGTGACAATCACCATTAGACCCTATTTGACTCCTGTAGGTTCTCTGTTTTTAAATATAAACACTTCTGCCTTTATATCTTGGGTCCTCAGCTAAAGGAGAGAAATGAAAGATGTCCCTTCCCTTGTTTTCTTGGCCTCTGTCAGAATGAATTAGAAATATTGTTTGGAGAAAGATGTCAGGTAAGAGACCTAAGAGAAGCCTTGTTCCTAACTTACTGTACTTTCCTAATTTAAATCCTTTATACTTTCATGAAACCAAGTGACCATAAAGTCAATATTGGTCTTACTTGCACCATTTTTTCAACTAATAAAACCGAACGAGACTAGTGAGTTCTAGGCTAGCCTCTTAGTAACACTGAGGGCTTAGGCAGGTCAGTTTCTTATCTGTAAAATGAAGAATCTGGATTCCATGATCTCTGACGGGCTTCCACTTTAATGCTGCATGGACCTATCATCTACAGTCAGCCACTCTAAAGGCCAATCTCGTCACACATATTGCCCAGGTGTGACTGGGAAACGAAGCATAGATGGTAAATATAACCAGTCAGTATTACTTTTTTAAAGTTTCAAAGCAGAAAGATGAATTGTTAATCATCTTGAATACAAAACATAGGTATTTACAGAAGGGCAGCTTTGGTCCTTCCTGCAAGAAGTCACACTGACCTGCAAACCCTAGTAAACTGTCTTTTACAGATTTGTCGTTATAAACAGTGTGTGCCCACTACTTATTAGCTTTATTCCCTCCTCAACCTCTATAATTTATCTTCTATCGTTATTCCACTGAAGTGGCACACATGAGGTCTTCATTAACCTTGAAATCACTAAATCCAGGAACCTGTTCTTACCAGTCTTAACAGTTTTTCTGTAATTAACACCTTCTCTTCTCTTGGCACCCTTGCCTTGTTTCTTTCCTTCTGATTGTTGCTTTTACAAAATTCTTATTCCCTCAGCATTTCTGCAAAGTTTGAACTTTGGACCTCTGTTCAAAAGAAGAAAGTATCCAGATTTCCTCTCCCAGGCATCTCATTCTCTCCCAAAGCTTCAGCTCTGATCCCTGTGTGTCTGACTTCCCAGTTGAAATCTGCCCTCTGACCTCTTCCAGCATTTCCAGGTACTAGCTCAGTGTTTTCATTTGTGTGACCTTTCACCACCTCAGACTCAGTACCTAAAATGAAACTCAGAATTCCCTTTCACAGCTTGCTCCTCCTCATTTCTTTATTTGCAGTCACACTAACCCTCCTAACTTTAAGGTAGGCATTTCTGACTCCTTGCCTATATATCCTTTTCCCTGCCTTAGGTAAGACTCCTGATACCACCTGATTGTGATTTGTGCATTATGTTTCCAGTCATCTTTTAAACCGTCTCAACACAGCTTAAAACATAACTTTCATTGTTTTTCTCACCTACTCAACAAAGCCCTCTGCTCAGCTGTCTTTGCCCATAGCCCCTGGCCTCCCACCGTGAGCCTTCTCCCTCATCCTCCTTTGGGAGAGCCTTGCACTTTGCCCTTGATCAGACCTATGAAAAACAAAACATAGCCACCACTGACATACTGTCTTACAGCCTCTTCCTTAACATCGTTCCCTACTGCAGCTCCTCTCAGAGGACCGCCAGAAGTGGTTTCTCCTAACTCCTGTAGCACTGCCAGCTATACAACTTACTTTGGTGTTCTCAGAAGCTGTCTTGTGTTAGTTATCTCTGTGTGTGGCCTGCCTTTTACACAGTGGTCTACTAGCACTTGAGGAGCAGGTATGAAACCTATTTTTTGGATTGTCCACAGCATCTAGACTAGTGCCTTCTCCATAGATTTCTCTGGTCCTAATAAATCCCAAGAATGGACATGTTTTTGCAAATTACTGGCATCATATCATTCATAGTAGTATATAGTTAATAAAATTCTTCCTTTCAAAGTAAAATAGATTTTCTTTCTGTTAAAGAAGAAAATCTGGAGCAGTTCTGCCAATCCAACAGTAATAGTGTTTTTCCATAGAGAAAATGAATTAGAGCAGAAATTTAGAGACTGTCACTAGTATGTGACTTTGGGCAGGTCACTTCATGTCTGGGAACCTCATTTCTTCACCTAGAAAATGTAAGACTTTTAAGAAGGTATTTCAACCCTTTAAGGATTATATCAGGATCCATTAATTCAAAATAGCAAGGTACCCTGTCAGGCATTTTTAGGATAGAAATCACCTTTTATACATTTATTTTATAAAACATCTATTTTATACATATCAGGTTTTTAAAACATACAGAAAAAATCTCTACCTTCAAGAAATCTTAGAAATACTGAACCTTCAAATCTGATATGGTAGCCCCATTATACTTTACCCATAGCCCTATGGAAGATATATACTTAGGAAAGAGTTAACTGAAGTATGGCTACTGCATTTACTCTGCTAATCTTAAGAAAAGATAGTGGGAACTAGTTTGTGATGATTTTACAGTCGTGAATATGCTTGCAGTTACATAAATAAAAGCAAGGTGCCTGGATAATTAGGCTTTTCTTTAGTGTATACACTCATTTGGCTCTGAATTATGATTTTTTAAATTAAAGTTGTCAAGTTGTCTGCACTAAATTCCTTTCCTAGGTAACAGGGTTTTACAGAAAAAGTACCCCTGTGATCAAGTACTAAGAGTTAGGTACGTAGATAAGAATTTAGTCTCCTTCTGGGAGTGCTTTTTAAATTAGGAAAAGTTGTGCATTAACCCAGTTTCCTTGCCCCATCTTTTTTACTATAGAAATTCCAAACCTCTTGCTAAAGGGCTTTCTCTGGCACTGTGCAAACTGAGAAGCCTAGGTGTGCCCAGCTGTCACTTAACCGGAGTCACGTGCCCCTTAGGTGCCCGCCCCCTAGTCCGCAGCTGGCCCCGCCCACAGAGCCCTGAGGGCTGTGTGCTTTCTCCCCACTGTTCTCAGAAGCTGTTAACTCCGCCGTAAGTATGCGGCAGAGCAAATGGCTTCCCAGGGTGGCCGAGCCCTGGAAAGAAAAGCCCGTGTGCCTGTGTAGTGCTCCGCTATAGGGCTGACTTGGACATTACTGAACTCCCAAGATTTTAAGGGATGCTTGGTAAAGCATGGTGGCGCACGATGAGATTGGAGGTCTCCTACCTATTAAAAGGACTAAACGAGTCCTCGATGTTAATAATCAGTCCTTCAGAGAACAAGAGGTAAGACTTTTAGAGAAAAATGAAGCCAGAGGAATGTTTTCTAACTCCACGGAACTTTTAAGATTTTTAGCAATTTAATAACAATCTAATCTTACATTTTTGATCTTACTGAGTGTTAAAATATACGGCTTTGATTTACATGCAAGCTTGAAATGTGTTTAGGAACTATGGTGTGAGTCTAAGAACTATGGTATAGATACGTGTCTATACATAGCATAGCTTGAGTGTACATAAACTTTATACAAAAAGAAAAATATTTTACCTGTTTATGCTGCTCAGTTTGATTAAATTGGTCACATTTCTGGTCTTTAATATAGTTGTGGCTTACTTTAACTTTCATTTTTATTACCTGGTCTTAGAAACCGCTTTACAAAGTGAGTGGAAAACGAGTCCCTTTCTTGCAAGTCAGTGAACAGATTGCCCCTAAAATGCTGTCTGACTTAGTGCTCTTTTTTATTTTCCTTTCCACATCTAATGCTTTCATTGTGTATGACTTTCTTTTTCTTAAGAATGAAAAATATGTTAAAATATTTAAACCAACAAATCATTATTATTTAGGGGGCTTCTACCTTACTTGCTCTGTGAAGTCATTGTGGTTTTTAAAGGTCTTTATGAACATTTATCAAAATAAGTCATGATTTTTATGCCATTTTTTGAATTTGATAATATTTAACACTACATAGGTAATTTTATTTATACTGCATAGTACAATATATATACTCCCTACTGCAAATACTCTATAGTGTATACTATATTATCATTTACATGATAGATAGAAATAGTGTTCCTTTATTCAATGAACTGTGTACTTCCTCTTTTGATTGTACTGATGGTTTTGTGGCTGTATGCATATATCAAAACTTATCTAATTACATGTTTTAAATATGTGCACCTTATTGTATTCCTCTTTTGATTGTACTGATGGTTTTGTGGCTGTATGCATATATCAAAACTTATCTAATTACATGTTTTAAATATGTGCACCTTATTGTATACCTCAGCGGCGCTGTGTGTGTCGTACATACACATTTTGGTAGTTAAAATAGGTGCCATCTTTAGGAGGTATGCTTTCATTTGGTGTGGCTTAGCTTTGGTTTCTGCTTCTCTGTTTCATTTTGGCTTTTGCTTCTATGTTTCAATTTTCTCAAAATATATAAGCATTTCCTTTGAGTATAAGCATTCCAAAATATATAAGCAAGTCCTACTTTGCATTGTAAATACTGAAACTGATCATCTTTTGTACCATCAAGAATTAGTCTTTTTTGTTCAGTATCAGACACTGGTCATGTTTGTGGCGCACCTTTATTCCAAAAATGATAAACACCAGGGATGTTGTCAGGTTTTTAGTACTAGCAATGGAACATAAATAAATAACTAAATTTGACTGTTTATATTACTAAGTATAAAGGGAAGAAATCCTATGTGATCACAACTCATTTGTATCTTTTTATAAATAAGTTTTTCTGTTCATTCTTCTCATTTTAGAGTTCTTGCCAGTCAGAGGAGATTATTCATCCAGTAATCCAAACAAACTGACAAATACTATTTTTTTTAAGTGTTTTGATTTGGCTTACTATAGGGAAGACCCTCCTAAAACATATCCTCTTACATGCCATTACTAGTTGAGAAAAACTTAAAAAAAAAAGAAACTGAGTGCACAGCAGAATGTTTCCATGTTGTTGCTTTTATCTGCAAGGGTAGTACCAGTGATAGACTTCAAATTGATTCTAACCACTTTCTGTTTATGGATATCCAGAAACTATTTCAAGACATAAATCTGACTACAAGTGGATTAGTAAAATAAATAGATTGATTAAAAACTTGGTATAAAGACAGAGTGCCTTTTTATATAATCATGTGATTGCCTAGCTAAACCCAGATAGTCTGGTTAAAAGCTAATAAGCAAAATAAACAATATGGATTTATATTAGCGGGTGTTGAGGTTTGTTCTCATCTAAGTGAACTTTAGCCCCGTTGAAAGGTTACCTACAATAGAAAGTCCCTTGAGCATGTAACTCTTGTTGGCTTATTCTGTGTTTATCCTCATAGATTTCCAGATTGTCTTTTGAGGAAACTATAGTTTTACGACCTGCACTCATTCTTTAGGCTGTGTGTATGCATCATAACGCTGTTAATAACACTTCACAACAAAATAAACACTAGCAACACCATTATGGGAGCCCCAGTTGGGTGACAGTAGGATGGGTCTCTCTTCCCTACATCACCTCCAAACACTGGGTTGGCGAACCAGCAGATGCGGGTGCAACACCAGCTCTCAAAGAACTTTGTCTTTAAAGTGTGTTTGGTGACAGGTGCAATGTTTAGGTTCTTAATAACCAAACCAAGAATGTTTAAGATTTTTAGCAATTTAATAACCAAACCAAATCAATGGTCCAGCTGATCCTCTACAGAAAAACTGCTTTTGGTTGTAGCTCACATGGGCCAAATCCTAACCTGTACTGCAGAAGTGAGAAATTTTTGACCCAACCTTATAGGTGATCCATGAATACTAATCCTTATCACTTTCCCACAAAAGCTTTCTGTATATTTTTTCTCAAATAGTGTATATGTATCCTGAATTGGTAGTGAACCATATCCAATATTAACACTGTTATATTTTAATCACACTTTTTATGTTATTCATTAAAAATTTTCTTACTTATGAAAAGTTTGTGTTGTGTCTGGCAAACATTCTGCACACATATCCTGTTAGTAAGGCAATAAAGTTAGTATTGGATCCCCAAAAGCATATGTGAAAAGTACGAAGGTGTCCTCCACCCCAAGCCCTGTATATCCCACCTTAGTACCATATTTTCCTACCAAGACATTTTAAGATCTACAGACTAAGCTAGCCGGTTGCTCTTACGAAGACATTTTAGACTAGAACTCTTTTAAGAATAACATACCTTGTGAACAAGTGAGATTATAGATGAATTTCTAAAGGTCAAATACAGAACATATTTAAACAACAAATACTACTGAACATAATATCCTGCCACCCTAAGGAAGCTGTATAAACAAAGTTTTATTAGTTTCAGAAAGGTGCTTTAAATATATTTACGTTTAATTATCTAAATTAAATTCTGTAGTTTTAATTTTAAATATCACATAATGTTGAGTTACAGGGTATTAGTTGTACAATATCTGATCCTATAAAGGTAAGGATTTCAAAATTCCTTTCCTCCCAGCTAAACTAACTTTTTTCCTTTCAAATTCAGTGGGAAGGGTACCTTTCCAAAGACTTTTAAATTGAAATTAAATGTTTTGTGATGTACTAGGAAGTCAAATTTGTTATCCTTTAAATAGAGAAGAGAAATTAACTTCTGTTTACAAAAAGAACACAACTTTCTGACAACTGCTTTGTTGCTACTTAATATTGGCCTGTCTTCCTGTGAGGTAATTGCATCTCCATTCATCCAGAGGACTCTGTACTGTCTTTATTCAATAGAAAGGAATGCCTCATACTGGACCTTCTGCCCATGCATGTGTCACCTCAGACTTGCACAGATGTGTGTTATAAAGGCAATCACACATGTCTCTGGCCACACAGTGTGCATTTTTACTATATATCTTAAAGGTTTCTTTCTCAGTCTGTTTAACATTTGCACTTTAGTGGCTTTATATTCGAAGTGTTACTCTGGACTTAATTATTTTGGCAGAGCTGGGTTGGTCTACAGCTCCTCCTCTTAAGTCTTCAAAGGCCTGAATTCTCTGGTTATCTTCAAAAGTCTCAGTACTTTGTATGTCAGTCATTTCTGATATGTATGTATACCCTGAGGAGCTTTAATGAGCCTAATTGCTTCTTTGAGTAATCAAGTAAGTCTCTTTCCAGAGAATGTTCTCTTTCTGCTACTTTATTCTTAAGTTATTCTAACGGGATTATTTTTACTCAGTTTCTCACCCCTTGCTCGCATTTTTATGTGACATTAGTCATATCCAAGAAGTTTGAGGAAAAAAATGTGTCATCTGTCATTTTTTTTTGTTATCAGTAATCTGCAATAACATGAAGAACATTATGTTTACTAGGCTCCCGCCTTCACCAAGTTCCCCCTGCCCACATCCCATTACAGTCACTGTCTGTCAGTGTAGTAAGATGTAGAATCACTACTTGTCTTCTCTGTTGCACAGCCCTCCCTATGCCCCCCCCCCCATGCTAATTATACATGCTCATCGTAATGCCTCCTTTCCTTTTCCTGGTCCTTATCCCTCCCTTCCCACCTGTCCTCCCTTCCCACCCATCCTCCCTAGTCCCTTTCCCTTTGGTAACTGTTAGTCCATTCTTGGGTTTTGTGAGTCTGCTGCTGTTTTGTTCCTTCAGTTTTTCTTTATTATTATACTCCACATGTGAGTGAAATCACTTGATACTTGTCTTTCTCTGCCTGGCTTATTTCACTGAGCATAATACCCTCTAGCTCCATCCATGTTGTTGCAAATGGTAGGATTTATTATCTTCTTATGGCTGAATAATATTCCACTGTGTATATGTACCACATCTTCTTTATCCATTCATCTACTGATGGACAGTTAGGTTTCTTCCATTTCTTGGCTATTGTAAATAGTGCTG